ATTGGAAGGGTACAGAGCAATATGTACAATGGTAAGTCTAGACACGTTCGTCGTAGACATAACACCATTAAACAACTCCTCACAACGGGTGTTATCACTATTGACTACGTGAAGTCAAAGGATAACATAGCGGATCCGCTAACCAAGGCATTGGATAGAGAATTGTTGGAGAAGTTGTCACGAGGAATGGGACTAAAGCCCGTGAATTGAAAAGTTCTATAGTGGATACCCAACCTAGTTGGTCCTAGGTTCAAAAGGGACAACTAAATTATAGAGCGAAAGATGGTCACTGTGGGGGTCCCGGACTCCTACCCAATCCTCGTTTAAAACAGTGACTCCCACACGAGGTTAGCAAAAACGTTTGCTTTAATGATTCTAAAATGTTGATCTACTCGATAACATTGGAAGAGTATGCGGGATACTCGTGAAAGAATCACCTATGTGAGAGAGAAGAGGGCCGCTTCAAAGGAGAACTGTAAAGGCTCAGTTCTTTAGAAACTCTTGCAGAACCAGGACGGTGACCCATGGCCAAAACGGACACACCCATGAGAACGGAACAAAGTTGGAAGGTTCTTGTGTAAAGATAAGTCAATGTTTACACGACGGAAGTATAATTCAAGGACATCGAGTCTGCTAGACAGCCAGTAAATAAACGGGTCTTTACAGCGGAAGGTTCAAAGGATAAAATGTACCTCTCCGTATGCAAGGATCATCCGGTGAACACAACGTGTCCTCCTATCTTCGTGTCATTTTAAGTCTCGAAAATCAATTTTCATTCATGTGGGGGATTGTTGGAAAAATGTGTTAAAATTTGCATTAAATGGTCATTTTGGGGCAATTATTTGAGTGGGGTCCACTTCCGATTTGGGTTGGGTCAAAGTGGTTTCGGATTGTCCTTGTTAAGGGCTACAATTCGATATGTGGTACACTCAAAACGGATAACGGGTGAATGAGAAATGGATTCTCGAAGTTCACTCGTTGAAATGGAAAAACTGGGAAAATGATGGGTTTCTAGTGTGTTTTATCCCACACCGTAAAACTCAAGGGATTTTCACCCCCTTATAAAGGGAAGCCTCTTTTAAGTAGTTAAGATTTTGAAAGGTAAATGATCTCTCTTACGCGCAGGGGGGGTGCCGATCAAATCCCGAAACGGAAAAGAAAAACCGCGACTCGTGTGTGCGGATGACCTGCGGACACGAATGCCGTCCGAAATATCTATCATTCAAAGATACAGTCTAATTTTTGTTCTTCTCGTAACGTTTTATTTTTCCAGAACTGCTCCGCTTTCTGTTGCCTTCCGTATTAGAGAACCTAAGAGGGTTTCTGTTGGACACCAGAGAACCTAAGAGGGTTTCTGTTGGATCAGAAGACCTGAGGGTTTCTGCTGGCTTCCGGACAGAAGAGAACCTAAGAGGGTTTCTGTTGGATCAGAAGACCTGAGGGTTTCTACTGGCTTCCGGACAGAAGGCCTTGGGGTCTTCTGGTGGCTTCAGACCAGAACACCTCGAGGTGTTCTGGTGGCAGTATTCTGTTCGCAGCAGAAGGTCTTCTGGTCCGTTACAGCAATAAATGCCCAACGTTCTTCTCTTTTAATGCTGCGTTAAATGGACAGTTTATGGACGATTCAATGCCCAACAGACTGGTCATTGATTTCCAACATTCAGGTCCATTAACACTACATTTAACACACAACAAATCTTCCTATAAATAGATGGTAGGTGGTTTGCAACAAACACACGGTTTTACACGTTCACAAGCAATAATACACGTATTTTAGTTCTCTAAAACACTTCCAGTTACTCAGAAAATTTCCCAAGTGTTCTGTCATTGTTCCAGTTCGCCGGGACTTTCGTTTGTGTGCTCAAACGATCGTTCGTTAGCCACCGTATCCTGGGAAACGGTTGTTGCAACGCTCCTAGCACCGTGGGAGGCGACGAATACGTTTTAAGGACATCGTGCGTAACACGAGCTCTGGCTAAACTCTGTTCCATCTATTTTCTGTTTTCCTTTAGCTATTTTATTTATTAATTAATTTTATTTGATTAATATTTCTTCGTTTTTCCGAGACACACCTAACACATGATACTCAATTGCATGTTTATAATACTCAAAACATGATTTTTGATTCTCAATGAAAATGTCTTGATGCTCACTCAACTAGAAAAACTTATAATTTTTATACAAACACTCATTTTATAAGTCAGTATACTCAATTGATAGTCATGTTATACTCATTTTTAAAATGTCATATCAATGCATATTTCAAAAGTACCATATTACATTAGATATGCATATTGATTGAAATTCATAAAAGTTGATTATAGATATAATTTAATGAGTTTTTATAAAAGATAAAATAAGAAAAAGAATGTGAATTACAATATATGAAGTTGATATCACAATACTCATTATTCGACTCTTAATACTCAGTAAAATACGTCTGGTGCTCATTAACAGAGTATTAATGCTCATCTAACGAAAACCATGAATTTGACTGAAATTACGAAAATGCCACCATTTTTTTAGTTGTGGTATAAGCTTTCTTGTAATAACATAATGCTCATTATTAGACCCTTAATACTCATTAAAATTGGACTATATATTGCTCATTAACAGTACACTAATGCTCAGATAGCAGAAACCGCGATTTTCACATCATATTACAAAAATGCCACCGGCTGACGGTGCTCACCGTACACCCGGTTGTACGGTGGACGGACTCGGAGGCAGAAGGGTTTTCAACAACTGCCGCCCTAATAATCTATTATCTGTCGAACAGCTCACTCCGTACTTTACTTTTCTTAATTTTAAATTAAAATTAGTTCCCTATTAAGACGGTTTGTTAAACACCGTCGTGATAAGTTAATATAAAAAAATTACCGCCTCGCCTATTAAGGCGGGCATCAGGGAAACAGCCGTAGCAGGTTTGTTATTATTATACACATTATTTTTACCGCACTTCTAACGTCGGTGTTTTTAACAACCTAACCGTCGTGAAATGTTTTCTTTAACGACGGTTTTTGAGAATCGACGTCTAATCTTTGACGTGGTAGGTCATTTATGTAGTAGTGCAAGTTTGACTGACACGAGAATTAATAAAGTAAAAACTGTGTGGTTGATGTTTGTGCAGAGGAGAGAGAATTAACTGGAACCACAAATTCTTTACTTTAAAGGGAAAGTGGTAAAGTTAATGGGACATCCAAACAAGGAAAGTTGACAAAGTTTTAAGGGAAAAATAGATCGCATTCTATTCTCTTTTAATATACGCAGTTCTTATACCGTGGGATTATCCAACGGTGAACACCGTGCTCCACTTCCAAAACGACGTAGCTTTGCAAAAATTTAAAAAAAAAAAGTTCGCATGAACAGTACGCGCGTGAACAGTACGCGCGTGAACAGTACGCGCGTGAACAGTACACGCGTGAACAGTGACTGTTTTTTATTTCCTTTTGTCCCAATTGCATGAATGATGTAACTCGCGTGTAAAGATATGTAACTTACGTTATTGATCAATGTAACTCAAGTGCAATCGAAATGTAACTTGTCAAATACATAGTATTAGAAAGACAATATTGATTTCAATAATGTAAACAATGAAAAGAGAGTTTGAATGTTTCAAATTTTATTTAATTAGTTTGATCCATTTTTTGCACTATTGATTATGGGTATTATTAATGAGTTAATTTTAGTTTTAAATGCGTGTTGAATAATTGCAAATTGTACGTTAGGATTGAATAATTTGCACTTTAAAAAACAATGAAAAGAGACGGTCTAATTGCATAATTGCTTTAGGTATACCGTGAATATGTTTTGTTTTTAATATCATGATCATAAAAATAATTTTTTAGAAAAATCATTTTTTTGTTTCAATAGTAGGAGTTGATTTTTTTAATATAACTCATGTTATTACAAATGTAACTCGCGTTGATGACAAATATAACTTAGGTGTATACAGAATAATGTAACTTGTTGGAAAATTGAACAATTCTTTTTTGTATGTGTTTGAGAATAATATATACTACGTACTTGTATATCATAAACATTGATTTTAATGTAAACAATGAAAAATTGACAATAGTGAATATGTTTTATTTTTAATATTAGGGCTATAAAATGATATATCAGGGTTTATTCTGTGGTGTAACTCACATATATTAAGATGTAACTCACGTATATAAAGATGTAATCACGTACTTTAAGATGTAACTCACGCAGAATAATGAACAATGAATGCCTTAAAAAAAATAATGACAATGAATAATTCAAATATGCTTCGTATAGGATAATGAACGATGAATAATATAATTCAATGCAAAGTGTTTGTGTAATTAGACGCTTCTCCATCATGTCTGCACCTCTCCAATCCTTCGTATAGGTTAATGAATAATAGTGTTTGTGTTTGACTACAAGGAAGCGGTGGTACAAGCCAGAGCTTCGACGAGATCGCTACTATAAGACTTCGATCGAAGCTGAATAGATCTTGTGGAGAAAAACGATTTCATTGGTGGTTGCCGGATGTGGTACTCGCCGGCTGCATTCACGCCTCTGTCTCTTAGGCCGGGTAAAACGCGAATTGTTTTTTAATAAGCGACACCGTTTAGAGATCGGCACACCATGCTCGTGGTGGGCCGATCCTACGATATAATTTGCGAATATGCGGAGTATTTCTTATTAGAAGTCTCTTTCATCGACTAATATTGTTAACAAACAATACGACATTAACTTTTACGTACTTAATTCTTTTTGATGTGTTACGCTAAAGCCTAGAATCTACTTTCTCTACGCGGAAAGGAGGCGTTACCCTTACTCGATCTGATCTTACAGCACTTTACTAATCTGTCAGGAAGCTTAAGGGGATGAGATGGCTGGAAGCACTGCGCGCAGCCTAGATGACACACACGCATCCATACAGCTTTAATTAGGTGACAACTACGGTACCTTTCTTAAAAATGGAGTACCGTACCTATCATTAATTTGATTGAATCACATCACTTTATCATTTTTAATTTAGATTTAAATAATTCAACTGCTACATTCTCATTGATCCATGTGGACAAAGGTATGGTACTTATGGGTACCATAGAATCCACCCTTTAATTATATAAGTATAAATCATACTTAGGTAAAAGTTAAGATCAGAGCAGATCAAGTACGATTGAATTCAGAAATTATAAAATGGCCGGCCATTATATATATCCGGCCACCAGCTAGTAGAGATGATCGGCGAGTATGCCGGCCGGCCGTGCACCAACCTCACCTTTCTTTCATCTAGTCGGTGGTTTGCTGCCGCTCATGCAGCCACATCCAATCCAATTCAAAAAGCTATCTACATGACAACTGCACAAACAAATAGAATGGAGCCAAGCAAAGCAGATCTTTGCGTATGAGAATACAAATTCACATATTCTCCTCTCTTAATTAAAAATTGCAATAGTTTGATTTTCACGTTTATCAACGATAACGTTGACAGCAAATATATTTAATTACGTATTAGTAAATATTATAAAAAAATTCACATTAATAGAAATTAATAACATTTTATATATAATAATTCGATTGTATATATTAGTAGAAAATCGTGATCAAAGTAAATTGCGTGAAAAGTGCAAAGACCTAATGTTGCAAGTGAACGGACATTGTATGTCATCATATTCTATAGACACACACACCTCAATTGATTAAGAAGATTATTGAAAATTTTGATTTGATTATTTCATTTTGATTTGAAAATTTTGATTTGATTAATTAATTAGTTGACTTACCAGCAACACTTTGTACATTGACGATCGCCTTTTGCCTTGCTTCCGCCTAGTAAATTATAATCCATCTTCTCCATTCCGGGCGGGGTGCTTTGGGTTGGATAACCTTATTATAGGTTTGATTCCAGTCCACATTAAATAAAATGAAAGAAGCTAATTATTAAGTACTTCGTATAAAATACCATATATATATATATATATACTCCGTATGTGTGTAATGTGCTTGCAGTTGTGTGGTTTGCATATATATATATTCCTAAACACAAATCAAATATACCTGCAGGCGGAATTTCGGGAGCCGTCTTGCGTTGTAATTGTTGTTCTTCCATTCTCATGGTTTTTCCTTCACATTCAACCTCAGCTCCGTTAAAATGCGGCAATATTATGTTGTTTGCAATATATACATATAATAACATACTACTAGTAGTATATATATAGGAAATATATGGATGGTCTGTTGCGCAATATGTTACGTTGATTTAAAGACTTTGAGATTATGTTCGAAGGAATTACGGGGTTATATTTCATAAAGCAACACAAGAATTGAAAAACTGTCACTTCCAGATCAAGTTCGCCTTTACGTATACTCTATGGCACTGAAACGTGACACCGGAAACAGGAAAAGGGAAGCCAAAAGTATCATTTGTTTTAATGCGGAGTATCCAGTGCGAAATTGGAAGAGCAATAATAATTAACTTGGCATTTCAGTTGTAAAGTACTGATGTCAACAATCAACTGCCAGATTCGCGTGTAAGTCTAACTACAGACAGAGAGCAGACAAGTTTAAGCAAGTGGTTAAATAAAATAATTTGGATAAAAAAAGAGAGAAAAGAGAACATTTAGAAAAAATAAACATATAAAATGAAAGTAATTATAGGGAAATAAGTTTGGGGGATTGTGAGACTTGACCGTAGATGCCCGTAAAGTAAAATAAAACTATATATACTAGTTCATGCCCGAAGGCTCATGAACTTACAGTACAACTGCTTTTAAGCACTCAAAAAGTCTCGGAGAAAGCGGCGAAAAGAGTAGCCCTCGGTATCTAGGGCCCTCGGCACCTAGAGGCCCCCGGGATGAAGAGCCTTCGGCCAATCATCTACAGCCGAAGGCATCTCCTCGACAGAATCTCCCACCCACATGCGCTGGATCAACGTACCGAGTACAAACGTCACATCCAACCACCGAATTTAATGCGGCCACATGCGAGTGTCAGTGTCACCCCGTTGAGGTGACCTCTCGACCACTAGAATGATGACATGTGTCCCTATCTGGCATTTATTGCTACTATAAATAGCACCCATTTTCCCATTTGTAAACCAGGCTCAATACGTTCAATACTTTCTCAGCAACACATATTCTCTCTCTTACTTTTGCTCTAACTTTTCTCTACTCTCTCTCCGCAATAACCCCTCGGATAAACTACTCTCGGGTACACTTATCCATCATTTGGTGCTCTCGTTGAGAGGTCGAACAATCAAGTAAGAAACCCTCCCCTTCAGCTAAAAACACCTACCAAAATGGGAAGAACCACACGTGCTCAGTCCAAGAACCTTGAGGACAACAACCTGGCCCTCGGTGAAGTCAATGCCCCCGGAGCCTCTAACAAGGCTCCCGAGGGCGGGGTCATCACTGAGTTGGAACAGGCTGCTGTTGACCTGCGCCTTCAGCTCCAGCAAAACGCTCCCGATGCCCATCTTGGCATCGAAACCCGAAGGAGGGACCGGAGCGAAAATAAAGTGAGCCCTCCGGTTCTCACTATCGGCGTACAGTCGGCATTCTCTGCCTTCATCCAAACACTCACCCAAAACCCAGGTGCCTTCGGCACTCTGGTGCCCCTTCAACCGCAAATCAGGGAGAACACTGTTCTTCTCCCACATCCACCCCCCTTCGTGAACCCTTCCCCTCGGGTGGGGAACGACAAAGGGGTCGTAGCTCAGGACACCGCCTCTCAGGAGGTCCAGTCCCGGGACCGCCATGGCACAAACAAAGAAAGGCCCCGGACCTCCGCCCTCGAGAGGCTCGGATGGGCGCAAGACCGCCGAGGGGTCCAAGACCGCCGAGGGGTCCAAGACCGCCTCGGGGGGAAGGCGTTCCAAAGACCTCAAGAAAGTGGCGGATCCGTCTCCAGGGCAGACGAAAGACGTCCTCCTCAGGACAAAGGCAAGGCACCACTTCATGCCGATGACGCCAGGCACCAAATCAATCAGGCCCACTCAACCTGTGTTCGTTCGCAGGGGGTGGAGGCCTTCTCGGAGGATCACAGGGACGAGATTATCGCGGCCCTCCAGCACCGTCTTGATGAAATGGAGGCCCATCGAGCACATACCGCAGTCGCCACCCCTCATGCTGATCCCAAATATGAGGCCATGATGGCCAAAATGGAGGAGATGCAAAAGAGAATAGCCGAAGGCTCTAGGGAACCTGTCATCCAACTCCGGACTAGGACGCCATTTACCCAAAGGGTATTGGCGGCCCGAATACCGGAAAAATACCGGGGGCAACCCATCAAGGCCTATGAAGGGAAAATGGACCCCCAAGAGCATTACAGCCGATTTCAGAACAGTATGATGATGGTGGGGGCATCAAACGAATATTTGTGTTGTTGGTTCCTCTCCACCTTAGAGGGCCAGCGTACGAATGGTTGCATCGATTTGTGGCAAGAACTCGCCCAACGCTTCTTGACGCAGTTTGCAGGGAGGCCCCGCTCAAGAAAACACTTCTCCCACTTGCTGACGGTGAGGCAAAGGAAAGAGGAGACCCTTCAGGACTTCTTGGAATGCTGGAGGACGGAGGCGGATAAAGTTGATGACGCTAATGATGGGACCCTCCTGGCCCTCCTTCAAACAGTCCTTCGCCCCGGGAACTTTTCAAGGAGCCTCATCATCGAACCTCCCCGCGATTACATAAGGGCCCTGCAGCGGGGGGACCGGTATGCCGAGGCCGAGGAAGTGGAAAAGTGCCATCACAACCCCGATCAGCAATGCCCTCGACCAGATGACAAGGGTAACCGGGGGCCGGGGCTCCACATAATCAATCCAAGGTTTCGGCACCCCCCAGTGATCGCCCCCGGCATGGCCAAGCCAAGCCCGGGGGAGGTTACAAGGGAAACCCGAAGGCTTGGGCCCAACCCATTCTTTTGGAGCACGCTCGGACTCCCTTGACGCACCCCGTTAGTGTCATCCTAGACTTCGCCGAGGAGGGGGGCCTTGCGGAGCGTGACTCTCGCGCACCCCTGGAGGTGTACGCCATCAACCCCAGTTATCCTTACTGTCGGTTCCACCGCAACCAAGGCACAGCACCGACGACTGCCATCAGCTGAAGACGTCCATCGAAAGGTTGATACAGGCAGGCCACCTGTCCCAATTCATCAGAGGCCCTCCGCCTCAGGGGACTTGTAACACCCGGCCCCGTAGGTCCTGAGGTAGTTACTTCTGACCTCTAGTACTGTCCTCACAAACCGTCACTAGCCTTTTCCGCGCACTTTGTCCTCACTCGTGCGCGCCCTGAGAAACTTCCCAGGGGGTCACCCATCCCAAGACTACTCCCGTGCAAGCACGCTTAACTTTGAAGTTCTTGGCTAATGAGCTCCCTTAAAAGGAGATGCACCTTGTTGGTATGAGTAGTACTATTAACCCGTTTAAATTAAATCTCAAGTATTACAATCACCCCCACTTAGGAACGCAACGTCCTCATTGCGCCCATAAACCAATCTCAATCATACCCCAGAATCTTTTCCCCTGCTAAGTGCTCGCCCGATATCCAACGGATCAACACACTGTCGCAGGACTGCTCTGATACCATTTGTAACACCCAGCCCCATAGGTCCCAAGGTAGTTACTTCTGACCTCTAGTACTGTCCTCACAAACTGTCACTAGCCTTTTCCGCGCACTTTGTCCTCACTCGTGCACGCCCTGAGAAACTTCCAGGGGGTCACCCATCCCAAGACTACTCCCGTGCAAGCACGCTTAACTTTGGAGTTCTTGGCTAATGAGCTCCCTTAAAAGGAGATGCACCTTGTTGGTATGAGTAGTACTATTAACCCGTTTAAATTAAATCTCAAGTATTACAGAACCCCTCACTACCAGGGCCCCCCTAAGAAAGCAAATGATTGGGTCAACCCAAACACCATCCCCTTCAGCGCCCCGAAGGGTAAGAAGAGGGAAATTGGAAACCTCGATGAGGAGGAAGAGTACAACCAGTATCAGGAGAAGAAGCGCCACATCCATATGATCACTGGAGGTAACACAGGGGGGACTCCACCAGACAGCAGAAGAAGTGGGCTCAATCGCTATACATGGGGGAAGTTGTAACACATGAGATTTAATTTAAATGGATTGATAGTACTACTCATACCAATAAGGTGCATCTCCCTCTTCTTAGGGGGGCCCTGGTAGTGAGGGGTTCTGTAATACTTGAGATTTAATTTAAACGGGTTAATAGTACTACTCATACCAATAAGGTGCATCTCCTTTTAAGGGAGCTTATTAGCCAAGAACTCCAAAGTTAAGCGTGCTTGCACGGGAGTAGTCTTGGGATGGGTGACCCCCTGGGAAGTTTCTCAGGGCGCGCACGAGTGAGGACAAAGTGCGCGGAAAAGGCTAGTGGCGGTTTGTGAGGACAGTACTAGAGGTCCGAAGTAACTACCTCGGGGCCTACGGGGCCGGGGTGTTACAAATGGTATCAGAGCAACCCTGCGACAGTGTACTGATCCGTTGGATATCGGGCGGGCACTTAGCAGGGGAAAAGATTCTGGGATATGATTGAGATTGGTTTATGGGCACAACGAGGACGTTGCGTTCCTAAATGGGGGTGATTGTAACACATGAGATTTAATTTAAATGGATTGATAGTACTACTCATACCAATAAGGTGCATCTCCTTTTAAGGGAGCTTATTAGCCAAGAACTCCAAAGTTAAGCGTGCTTGCACGGGAGTAGTCTTGGGATGGGTGACCCCCTGGGAAGTTTCTCAGGGCGCGCACGAGTGAGGACAAAGTGCGCGGAAAAGGCTAGTGGCGGTTTGTGAGGACAGTACTAGAGGTCCGAAGTAACTACCTCGGGGCCTACGGGGCCGGGGTGTTACAAGGTAGTTACTTCTGACCTCTAGTACTGTCCTCACAAACTGTCACTAGCCTTTTCCGCGCACTTTGTCCTCACTCGTGCACGCCCTGAGAAACTTCCAGGGGGTCACCCATCCCAAGACTACTCCCGTGCAAGCACGCTTAACTTTGGAGTTCTTGGCTAATGAGCTCCCTTAAAAGGAGATGCACCTTGTTGGTATGAGTAGTACTATTAACCCGTTTAAATTAAATCTCAAGTATTACAGAACCCCTCACTACCAGGGCCCCCCTAAGAAAGCAAATGATTGGGTCAACCCAAACACCATCCCCTTCAGCGCCCCGAAGGGTAAGAAGAGGGAAATTGGAAACCTCGATGAGGAGGAAGAGTACAACCAGTATCAGGAGAAGAAGCGCCACATCCATATGATCACTGGAGGTAACACAGGGGGGACTCCACCAGACAGCAGAAGAAGTGGGCTCAATCGCTATACGTGGGGGAAGTCACTCATATGCCCCCGGTAAAGCGGCTGAGGGAGGAACCCATCACCTTCACCAACGTCGATCTCCCCCCGGCTTCCTCTCCGCACA